TTCTAGCTGGAGTGTCCGGTGCTATGGTGTCTTAGTGACCTTCCTACTGGAAGTCTGGGGCAGGGGCGTGGTGGTACAGGAATGGGCTTGTTTTTTCTCTGCTGATGAAAGAATTAAAAGGCAGGAAAAGTTTGAATGTCAAGCAAAGAAAAGTTTGTTCAAACTTTAGCACTTTTGTTGAACTTAAAAGAAAATCCCCAGGGCAGTTAAGCTATGAAACTCAGCAGGTGCTGGAAGAGAATGGAAAAGAAAAGGATAAAAGCTACGCTATTTGAGCTAAACTGGCTTGGAGGTCAACCACGTGGCAGATGAGCAGCCACAGGACAGGAGGGGAGGTTCAGAGATAGACTGAGGAAACCCTAAATAGCAGAAAAAGCATACTTAGGCTCTGGCCAGCATCTGAAAGAAAGAAGGAAAAAAGAAGAAAAAAGAAATAATTCTGTGACTGGCAGAGACTGGGCTGGGGGTGGGAATTCTCGGAAGGAAAAGTACATTATCTCATTAAAAGCATAATTCCCTTTATCTCTTAGCATGGCTAGGAGGAGGAGGGGGAGGAGGAGGAGAGAGTTACATCTTTCTGGGTGGGCAAGTGGGCAGGAGGAGGAGGAGGAGGAGGAAAGAGTTACATCTTTCTGGGTGGGCAAGTGGGCAGACCCAAGGGAACCTCATGGTGGCTTGTAGGGACTGTGTACTAGGGACTGTATAGTGGGCAGGAATTCTGGGAAGGAAAAGTGCAGTGTTTCATTAAAGGGCTAATTTTTCCTCCTATCTCTAAGGCATGCCTTAAGGTGAAACTGGCTTACTAGGGGTGGTCCCTTGGCTAGGTGACTGACATGCCCTAACGGAAAAGCTAGGTTTCTACCCAGGCCTCATTCTATTCTCTTGACCCGAAGTTTTCCTTAATTGGGCCTTTTACTGCTGCTGTGTCAACCACATTGGTGAGAACAGGAGACAGAAACTGGTCAAGTAGAGCAGGGACCCCAAAGCATCAGTTCCAAGAACGTCCTTGCTGGAAGCCAGGAATGCCAGAAGAGAGTTCTGGCTACCGTTTCTTTGTCTTCTAGAGCACCTCTGCCTAAAGGCTACCCGAGTCTGTGTGTCAGAAGCTGAGAGGAGGCATCTGGACACCTGGCTGGGCCATCTGGACTGACTAGCTCATCCCTCTGCCCATACTTCACCCAGTTTCTGCCATAAGTCCTTTGAAGAGCCCCAGCCTATCAGTTCAAAGGTATCCCACTCCCAGGGACCCCTCCTATTGTGTGGAGCTCTGCCTTTTCTTCTTTCTCTTAAGCTCCCTATAATAAAATACTTCTTAAAACCCATCCTCTGTGGTCCATGAATTTCATTCTTTGAATTCAAGAGAAAAGAACCCAAAAGCCACTGACTTGGGATGACTTTGGGCCATTGAAGTCCCAGAATCCTTACTCCCTGGGAAAGACTGAATTGCTCCCAAAGACACCCCAGTATTTTCTCATTGTCAGCACATTCTGATGGTTTAGGATAGTGTACATGCATGTACATGCACGTGTACATATTCACGAATACATACATGTGCACAAAAATGGAGAGGGGTGAAAAATGGGGCAGGGCAACATGGTGAAATGTCAGTTGGTGAACCTAGAAGAGGTCTGCATTTTCTGTACAATTTTTTTCAAATTTTCATAGGTTTTAAAATTTTTTTCTAAAGAAATATATGACTAGAAGAAAAGTCTTGTTTTTCTATCACATGGACTGTATGATGGGAACATGAGCTCCCTGTGTGTGACAGGCAGCTTGCCATTTTAAACTTGCAGGGAGACGTTTCTTCCTCCCTTACCATCCTGCATCATTACAGGGGGCTTGATCTGCCCCATCCAGACCACTCTTGCTGGGTTTGCTCTACTATCAGACTCTCCATTTTCTGTGGTCCTGGGTTTTTGTCTTGTGGCCCCAGTACCCCCACATTAGAACCACCTCCCAATTCCAGGGACCTTGTTTTTCCTTTTCATCTGCCTTGATTTCCCTTAGAGCCTTGCTAGTTCCACAATGATTCAAAGGAAATGGTTTAAAACCATGTCATATAACTTAAGAAATACATGCTTCTGTAGCTGTCTTATACAGGACATCTTCTCTTCTATACACTTCATGATTGTTTCTGGTCATGACCAGTTTATACTTTTAAATATCAGTGATGATACAGTCTATACTCTATTACCTAAAGTTCTAGGAGGTTTTCTTTTGTTTTTGGTATTATTTTGTTTTGAGATAGTGTCAAGTCATTTAACCAGTCAGACTGAACTCATTGTATAGCCTAAACTGCTTTTTTAATTCCCAAAATTGTAATTCCTCTGTCTTAGCCTCTCAAGTGCTGAGATGATAGGCATTTACCACTACTCAGGCCTTTTCTTTTTTTAAAGATTTTATTTATTTTTATTTTATGTGTGTGCATGTTTTGCCTACATGTATGTAACTGCACCACCTGCATACCTAGTGTCCTCAGAGGCCAGAGAGGGCATTGGATTGCCTGAAGCTGGAGTTAAGGAGGGTATTAGCCAACATGTGGGTGCTGGAAACTGAACCCAGGTTGGATGCTAGGGCAGTGAGTGCTCTTGACTATATTAGTCATCTCTCCAGCCTCACTACCCAGGCTAAAAGGATGTCTTACTATGCCGTTTGTTTTTCTGCTAATTCTTGAAGAATGGGGCTTTGATTTTGGATACTAAGCTCACTTTCTGCAGGAGCCAATTCTACAGCTTCGTTCAGGGCTCAGTTCTTCAGGGAGGCTCAAGACCTTAGTGGCTGAGGGGTATTACTAATTTGCAATTTGCTTTTATATTCACTCTGCCTTTGAGGTTGCTGGGTCAGATGAGCCATGTGGCTTGCCGTCTTGCACAGGCCCTTGCTTATCATTGCAGAGGAGATACTTGTTCATCTACAGTTGAAGATGATACAATGAAACTTTCCACCTCTCCCCTGAAGGGACCATGTTCTTCAGAGCTCTTTGAAGAATTCATGTTTCAACTAGGTCACTCATTTCCAGCTCCCTTTCCTGCAAGAGTGTAGTCTCTCCTGTACTGACTTTCGTAGACATTAAAAGCCCAGCTGACACTTCACCCAAGCCCCCTGTGCGGCAGCTGCTCAGCACTTCTGTGTTGGCAGTTGAATCTCCCTTTCTGGGAACTCTGGAATGTCCTTTGCGTTCATTCTCAGTTCCCCAGTTAACAGGAGGTGTGCTATACATATCCAGTTTCTTAGTGTTTGCTGTCAGAGGATATTTCAAGGAGCCTCGTCTGCTTTGTTTTCAGAACTTAAAGTCCCTTAATCTTTTATTTTTGGCTAAAGTAAAAGCCCTTTATTCAGTTGAATGTAAGCACATTAAGTTTAGCAGAAATAATTTCAGTGACTTAGAAAAACAGTGATGCATAAGTAAACTTTGCTGTGGAACTCTCCAAACTAGTTCAGCCTTTTGATGCCTGGAACCATGTCTTAGAGCTTGACACTATCATGGCTAGTGCAATGATGTCACATAGTGGGGTCTGATTTCTGTTACTGTTGTTAAGTGACCTCAGGAGTCCACCCATTACATAACAAGATATTTTCTTTTTTCTGAGTTTCAGCTTGCTTTCTACCTATCCCTGCCTAACTGCATCTATCATTACTACAGATACAGCCCAGCCTGTGGATTCCCCACAGGAAAATGACACTGGTATACACTCAGCTTTCCCATACCCTGGGAGGGTGAGGGTTTTATCCTGGACTTCCATGGAAATTCCAGACATCCCCACCCTCTGGATCTACTTGTACCACAGCTGAGGCTGTGGAGGCACGTATGACACAGGTCTTGCTAAGGAATCCCTGCAGATGGGTGGGTCTAAGTCACCTGTGTGGTGGCATGTGATGTGTCCTATGAGGTCATAGATGTGGCTCGCTTCTTAATTCATAGATTCACTAATCTCATATTCTTCTGTAAAGCTTCAAGCCGGGGAGGTGAATGTAGAAGTGTATTTGTAGCGGCCCTGCAGGTTGATCTCAAGGATGTTCAAGGGCCGTTCCTTTTATCCTCACTATCGTAGCCCAATGAAGGGCAGTGCTCAGATCTGAGGTTCCTACCTCAGTAGAGTCCAGAGGGTGCCAGGAGGTCACAGAAGGCCCATGAACTCAATCATGTCAAGCAACAAGGTCCTGTTTCCATGAGTCAACTTCATGCCCTGATGCCTTGAACACCCGAGGGGGACTTTCTGTAAGTCAACCTGTCTTTGAGGTGAAGGGTGAAGGTTTTGGGGTGCCCAGAGCCTGGTTAATCTGAGGTCCAGGTACTGCCCTCGGAACATCATGACAATTGGTCAAGGCTTCAGAATACCGAGGGTCCCCTGTGTGCATGCCCTCACCCTTGGGAAACAGTTATGCAAGACTCGCCTCTGAACCCAGGCTGTCAGATCCAAGTGTTCAGATCCCGAGTCCTTTCTGAGTTGGAATGAGGAGGAAGTAATCTTTTACACAGGGGAGGAAGGGACATGAGGCCGAGGCTCAGTCCTTGCCCTTTACCTGGCCTGGACTCTCCAGTCAGCTTGCCTGGGCTTCCCAACTGTTGGTCTGGTCATACTTTGGTTCTTTTCAAAACATCTTCCTATGATCAAGGAGTGAAAGCTGGCACAATGGTGACCTTTCAGAGAATGATAAAGGACCTAGTCTGTGTCCTCTGCTGCAGAGATCCTGGCCCTGTTTTAGGGAAGACACATTTAACCTTCCTTTCTGCAGTGAGAGAAGTACCTGGGAGTTCTTGCTCAGGGGGATTTCTATTAATCCTTCAGTAAATACCCTTGAATCTAATAGAGACAGAGGCCCAAGAGAAAGAGAGTATGAGAAATTTGTGACTAGAGGCAAAACAGTTTTTCCCCTTTTTCTTTGGAGAAATATTTCTTTTGTGCTAGTAACCGTGACCACTTCTTTCCCTCTTTCTGACTTTACTGTCTGTTTCTACCCTTGCTGGATAATTCAAAGAGATAGTTGGTGATACTCACAGGAGTCCAGGGGAAGGGCTTTCAACACCTTGACCTTAGCTTTGCTTGCTGATCTTGATGACTTTGCTGTTTCTAGACTCTTCCTCCAGACTAGCTCTCCAGTTCTGCTGCCTGATGCACACCACCTGTAGAGGAGGTCTGCAGGGAGTTTCTGCACTAATCCTGTTCTTTCTTCCCTAGATATAGGAACCTGCTTAGGGCGGGCCATGGATCAGGTTACACAGCCACTAATGTGGAGCAATCAAAGGAGGTAAAGGAAGGAACAGCGTATGCCTGGTCATGTATGAATGCCCACGTGTATTGGAGTCAAAGCTTTCTGCTCCTTTGTTAGGCAGCTAATCAGACATCAGCAGGCTTGGAGGCGATTTCCTCCTGGCAAAGCATAGCTATTTTGTAAATTAAAAAAAATTATTTTTATTTATGTGTGTGTGCATGTGCATATGTGTAGATGATTGCAGAGATTAGAGGCGGACATGAGATTCCCTGGAGCTGGAGTTTCAGGTAGTTGTGATCCGTCCAACATAGATGATGGCAATTGAATTCTAGTCCTCTGGAAGAGTACCAACTGTTTTTAATTGCTGATTCATCTCTCCAACCCCTTAAGGATTTATTTCATTTTTCTTTAATTCTTTTGATCTGCACTGAAATTTTTTTTGTCAAAAGAATGGTATTTGATCTGTACTTGTGACTGAGAGGAGACATGCCATTTGTGAACTGAAGTTACTGGAAAGAAGCTGTACCTGTCTCTGAACAGTCTGCAATGCTTATTAACTATTTAAAACTTTAACATTTGTGGAGAGGTTGGAACATTACAGGACCAGAGCCTAATTATGGCTTATCTTGGGCTACTTTTAGTCCCCTAATAAGCTCCCTTGCCCACTTCTGTGTCTGACCTAACATCCTGTGATGAACAGATAAAACTTTTTGGAATATGTTAACTTAGCAAAACACCTAGCTCTCACCAACCAAAATGCTAAGAATGCCCTCAGATAGCATCTGAGGTATATAACAGAGATTTCCCCACTTTGCTGTAACCTGCCTACATGAGGTTTTCACCAATGTTTTTAAAAAGTACCTTGATTTATGACTTTCTTTGTTTTGTTACTATAACAACTTCATCAAACTGTTACCACATTGGAACATGAAATTTTGGGAAACTCAAATTTGTGTTCCTGGGCCATAGTCATTCATATTTGAATCTAGAATAAGCTATCTCTTATCTCCTTTGAGGTAAGAGTTGTGTTTTTGCTTTGAGACATTATAAATTACCCCCAATTTTATAAAATTACAGATACACTATTGCCCCCTTCCATTGAGATAATCCAAAGAAGGCTGTCAATCAGCTGGATGGAAAAACACCTCTCAAACAGCTGCAACTTCAGAAATCATGATACACCCAAAGACATATTAAGAGGACAAGAGGCACAACAATCATCTTAATGGGATACATACTTATACCCCATGAAGTTCTTCCTTAGATGCAGTTACTTAGAAATTGTAATCACTGTCCTTGGAAACACCCAGTGTAGTTGTGCTGAACAGCTTCAGTTATCAACTTGACACACTTGGGTAGAGGGAACCTCAATTGAGGAAATTCCTCCATTGGATTAGCCTGTGGCCATGTCTGTGAGTGGTTTCTTGACTGTTGAGTGATGTGGGAGGACCCAACCCACTATGGGTAGTGCCACCCCTGGGCAGGTGGTCCTTGGTTGTATAAGAGAGCAGGCTGAGCATAGGTCAGAGGAGCAAGCCAGTAAGCAGTATTCTTCCATTGTCTGTGCTTCAGCTCCTGTCTCCAGATTCTTGCCTTCAGTTCTTGTCCTGACTTCCCTCAGTGATGAACTGTGACCTGTGTTCTGGTCACAGTGCTTATTATAGCAATAGACAGTAACTAGGACAGTAGTTACATGAACATTTGCTAAAGCCACCATCTGTTTTTATTTCATAAAGCTATAGCTACTTTTATCTGAATACTACTTTATGTTTGTACTTTCAGTTTAAATTGCATCAAATTAAAAAAATACATTTTTAAGGTTTTCTATGTTGATTTTGCTGATTTTATGGTAATTGCCTTTTGAGGAACTCTTGTGGTTCCCAATGAAATTAGCCAAACAAGGACCTCCAATTCTCACTAAAAGCTGGTCTATATTGAGCCCAATTTCTGATGCTTTACCATCTTCCTGTAATTTAAAAATCTTTAGCAAAGTCCTTCCCAGAAGAGAGTACTTTCTATGTGCTAGTCACAGCTTGTGAATTTCATGATGAGAAGCCTAAAGACACAGGCAGCAATAAAAGTGCTGTGCTGGGTAAAGAAAATAGGGAGAGTTAGTGATGGATACCCACGGAGAGAGGTGTGATGATAAAGGCAGTTGAGACTCTGAGGCTGGTGAAGTTCAGACTTAAGATGCCAGGCTGGTGTAAGATGTTGCAAAGGGAGAGGGAGCTTCACGTTCTAAAACCTGGTGCTTGACGTAAAGGCAGTTGAGACTCTGAGGCTGGTGAAGTTCAGCCTTAAGGTGCCAGGCTGGTGAAAGATGTTGCAAAGGGAGAGGGAGCTTCACGTTCTAAAACCTGGTGCTTGACCTACTGCTGGACCCATAGGAGGCCTGAACCTGTGTGATCATAAGGGGCTGGTGCTTCAGGATAAGTTCAGAAAGGCAGGTCAGGGAGACTTTGGAACTTGGAGAGAGTTTGGGTTTTATTCTGAATCAAGAAGTTCCCTTAGAAAAGTTTAGATCCTATGCTTAAAATAAGGGTTTGATTTCTGCTGTGCACAGCACACTGGCTGCTGACACAGAATCACACACAGGGACAAATGCAATGGTGAAACCAGCTCAAACTCTTTGCAGTCAAATTATTACTGGCATTTATTCAACCTCACAGTAACACTAGAAGGCATTCACTTTAGAGACATACTCTGCATTTACTGTTTTGGCAATTTCTCTGGGAACATGTACACTGGCAAATATTATTTAACATTATTACAGATTGCATTGCCTATGGGAAAGAATGAATCCTAAATCACAGCTGCCTTGCCTGTTGACTCTTTCTCAGTAGAAACACCTGTTGGGATGGATTGGCTTACTTCTGGCACACCTGTAGGCATTACTTGTTTCTCTCACAATAAGTATGTTTCCAGAGAAAGCCAGGCTTCCTGCTCAGTTACCTGGGGGTTTACAGGATTTCATTATTTGTAGAGATAAGCTCAATCGTGTGCAATCACAAGAGGATTAAGGAAATGTTTACCAGTTCATAAAGAGGTAGAGCAGGTTTGGAGCCTGTGAACTGATGCATGGGCAGGGGGGAGAGGCTTAGGTGGAACCTCTCATGGACTCCCTCCTCTATGGAATGAAGAGGGAAAATGCAGTTGAGTAAAATGAATCTCTCAGAAAGGGGTATGACAATAATTGTAGTGTGTATTGGGAAATAAACAAATAGCAAACTGGTCCAAAAACTACCCAGAGAAAAAGTAAACATTTTGAGATCTAGCCCCATCCCTAGGAAATTGGATACTTGACTACTGACTAACTTAATAATTGAGTTTTCTATGAAGACTGAAGCTCTTGAGGTGAGGAGCTGAGTCTTACCAGTGCCCATTAACTGTGATAGTTTTGGAGTGTCACAGGGCAGTGTTTGAGAGAAGAGATCCATGGGATCTGGAGTGTGAGATCATGTTGCAAAAGTACCTTGATCCAGAATGCCAGACTTGGACTCAAACCAATTGGCTGTGGGCAGTTGGACACTTACGATGAAAACTAGGAATTTTACAGTTAGGGCTTGAGACAAGCACTAACATTCTGGATCAGGTAGAGAAATGGGCAATGTCTATTGTTGGGGGTGGTGTGAAGGTGTTTTACTCTCAGCGCTCAACCTCACCTAGCATACTGAGCAGGAAACTCAGACATGTCTGCCAAAGATCAAGAGAATGTGTGGCTTCAGGTTCAGTTTTGCCAACATGCTGTTTTCCTTTGCCTGGACCATCCTCCAGTTTGCAATCAGCTAAGATCTGTTATGATGAAAATGTGGTCTGCTGGGACTTGACTTATATGTTCAAGTCCTAACACCTTGCGCCTTGGAACATGACTATATTTGGAAGTAGGGCCTTTAAGAGATAAGTTAAGTCTTTAGAGTGAGTTCTAATCCAATGTATCAGGTGGACACAGGGAGGAAGCATCTACCAGGAGAGTGAAGGAGAAATCAGCCTTGCTAACACCTTAATCTTGGACTTCTAGCATTCAGAACTGTGAGAAAACACATTTCTGTTTATGCTGCACAGTCTTGATTTTTCTTATGGCACCTTGAACAGACCTGTTTTTAATTTTTAAAATTTTATTTAAAATATTTTATTTTTATTTTATGTGTATAAGTGTATTACCTGCCTGTATGTGAGTGCACCCATGTTGTGCAGTGCCCACAGACATCAGAAGAGGGCATCAGATCCCCTGGAACTAGAGTTACAGATGGTTGTTAGCTGCCATGTGGGTGCTGGGAATTGAACCTGGGTCCTCTGCAAGAGCATCCAGTGCACTTAACTACCGAGCCATCTCTCAAGCCTCAGACATGTTTTTTAAAGAAATATTTTTATTAATTCTTTGAGAACTTCATACAATGTATTTCAATCATATTCTCCTCTTCCTCCAATTCTTCCCACATCCGCCCCATCTCCCTACTCACTAAACTTTGTGTTATTCCCGCCCCCCACCATTGAATCCAATCTGTGTTACTCAAATATTCTTGGGTGTGGAACTTGCCCTGGAGTGTCACCCCTTAAGACGACTGAAACTTCTTTTCCCAGCAGCTATCAAATGCCAATAGGTCCTCAGCTAGGGATGAGACAATCTTTACCTCTTCTTGTCCATGTTAGAATTTTATCTGGCTTGAGCTTGAGCAGGTCTTGTGCATGCTGAATCCATATGTACAACCACCCTGCTTTCTGAAAAACACTGTTACCTTGTAGTTGTTCACCACCTCTCTTATAATCTTTCCATCCTCTCTTCTGCAGTGATCCCTGAGTCTTGTGGGGAGAAGGTGTGACATAGATGTT